CCCTGATCCCCATGATGCTGGTAAGGAGCTTCCAAATCTCTTCTGAACTTTGCCTCACACTGGTGCTGGGGATGTGAGCAACCCTGGCCTGTTCAGAGCATGCCTTCTGCCTTCTTTGCGTCCAGCAAATGCAGGACATGCATGGGAAAAGAACAATTTAAGGATAATTTTGGTGGCCTGCTTGAGAAGCTCATGAGTTAATTTCTTCCTACTACTAATTTGGGAGGAGGGGCAACTGGTTGGGTCAGAGTTCATTATAGGAGATATCTCTGTTTTACTAAAAATAGCAGTAACTGCTGAGATGATTGGGGGTGAAAGGTCAGGGACTCAGATAATTGACATTTGAAAAGGTGGATGCCCATGGCTCAAGCCTATAATCCTGAACCACTTAGGAGGCTGAGATCTGAGGATTGTGGTTAGAAGCTATCTCAGGCAGAAAAGTCTGTGAGACTCTTATTTTCTACTAACAGCAAAAAACTCAGAAGTAGAGGTGTGGCTCAAGTGGTAGAATAGCAGCTTAAAGCTAAGGGACAGCATCTAGGCCCAATACTGTTGAAGTCCCAATACTGACCCAGAGAGAGAGAAAGAGAGAGAGAGAGAGAGAGAGAGAGAGACAGACAGACAGACAGACAGACAGACAGACAGACAGGGAACGCCCAGATGCACCTGGCCAGCCTTGTTTTCAAGGAAGAATTAGGTCTGGGGAGCAGATTTTACATTTTGTCTGACTCACTCACCCCTTCGCCTTCCCTGTAAAGAAGAGGTTGTCTTCAGATCCTGTGTGTGGTTGTTCATCAGAAAGACCTAAGTTTCTGATGACTTGCTAAGGATTGTCTTGGTAGGAAAGTGAAATGGCATGGGGGAGCTGAGAGACATGCACCAGTCATGGCTGTCTTTCTCTGGTTGGATGGAGCATGGTTCACAGTGTTCTGTGGGGCTGGGCGACATTTCCCAGCCCAGAGGTGGCGTGGGGGTTGTGACTTTCTCACTTTCCTCTCCAGCTGTTACTGATTTCCCTTCTTTTCCTTCCCCTTTGGTTGTTGCACACAATTTTGAGAAGGGCTTAGACCTCAAGGCTGAACAAACAGGTAAAGAGACAACAAAAGACTTTTAAAGCTCCATTAATGGGAAGGTGCAAAAAGCGGTGTTGTACGTGCTTGGGGTCTAAAGGAGGATGGAAGCAAAAAGGGTTAGTGCTGAGGGGAGATGTGAGCTGAATTCCTCTATTTTCCACAGGGGAGAGATAACCATCAATGCCTAGGCTGTCTGTGCTACAGAGTGTGCTTCTGGGGTCTTTAAGAGAATTTCCCCATTAGCTATGGTCTTTGCATCCTTGTCATCCTAACACTGTACTTGTGGCGCTGTACTTGTGTACTTGCGGCGCTCTTCGGGTTACCTGCCTGCCATTGCTAAGGAAAAGGATGGAAAAAGGCAGAAGTGACTTCCTAGAGCTCTTGTCTACATGCTTCGTCCTGTGCCTTTGGTGCCTTGAATGGCATCTAGTAGCACTCACTAAATACCTGCCCTCTTACAGCAGGAGGAGGGCAGGAGCAGGAAAGGAGACTGTTGAATGTCTTCCCTGTTGCCCTCCCGATGCTGCCTTGGTGCTTCAAATTCTTGACTCTCAGTGGCCAATGCCCTCCATAGTGTCAGCTCCCAGCGCTTCACTGTTTCTTTCTCCTCTCTTTCGGTGGCCTGCTGGCTCTTCCTCTTGCCTGGTTTCTGTCATACCTCTGTGACTGGTTCTGCTCTACTTGTAAGTGTTGCTGTGCCTGGCACTTCGTCTTAGGTCAACTCCTCCATGTTCCCATTTTCTTCCTGATGATCTCATCTGGTAATTTCAGCACAAGCTTTATTCATTGATTTCTCCAAACTTTACCTCCCACGCTGAGCCCCCACCTCAGGTATCTAGTTATGTACCTGACAATTCCTTCTTTCCTTCCTTCCTTCCTTGCTTGCTTTTATAAAATACACCTCTACTTTAAAGTGTCCAGATTGAATTCTTGATTGCTTCCCAACCACACACATTTCACAAGTTCCCACTTGGTTCTTGCATCCTCTAAGTATCCATTTTTCACATAACAGCCAGAACAAACTTTTAAAAAGAGAAAACAGCAACAGGGCTTGGTAGTTCATACCTGTACTCCCAGCTACTCAAGAGGAAAAGGCAAGAGATTTGAAAGTTCCATGTCAACCTGGGCAAGTTAGCAAAACTCTTATTTCAAAATGCAAAATCCAAAGGCACACAATGGTGGCTCATACTTGCAATTCTAGCTGCTCAGAAAGTTGAGATCCAGAGGACTGTGGTTTGAAGCCAGCTCAGACAGAAAAGTCTGTGAGATGCTCCAGTGAACTAGTGCAAAGCCAAGCTGGAGGTGTGGCTCAAGTGGTACAGTGCCAGCTGAGCAAGCAAGCCAAGTAAACAAGCAAGCCAGCCAAACGAGCACAAGGCCTTCAATTCAGATCCTGCACCCCTGAAACCAAAGTACAAAGTAGCTGAGGTATGGCATGTCTAGCATCCAACTCATGGGTCCAATCCCCAGAAAACAACAACAAAAAAGCTAAAACAGCTAGCTCATGCATGGCACTTTCTGTTTTAAGACTCGTTAATGGCTCCCATAACACCCAAAATTCCCACTCCTTATCATGCCACGAGTTGCCTCAGTTCTTCATCATTGACCTTCTGTCTCTTGTCCAGCCACACTGACCTTGTTTCTGTTTCTGGAACATACTAAACTGGGTCTCACGCCAGGGCTTTTGCACTTGTTATTTTCTTTACTTAAAATATTCTTGTTATTGTTATTATTTTTTTCTCAAATCAGTGTCTCTTTTGCAGAAGCCTCTTTGGTACCCTGCTATACCAAGTGGCTCCCTGCCCATTAAACTCTGCAAAGCCCTTGATGCAATCTGAGATTACCTGATGCAACAGTTTTTAAGGAACTTTTTCCAGTTTATTAAAAAGTGTCTCCTACATCAGTGAGTGTCAGGGACACAGTAGGCAGGGAATAAATATTTGCTGAGTTGTGAGTGTGGGGTATGATTTAATCTTCTTGGGAACCTGAGGCTCAGAGAGACTCTTAAATGACTTGACTTCTTAAGTCGTTAAGTGATTTTCTTTTCCATGATAATCCTGAAAGCGGATCCACATCCTGTTTTATTTATTTAGTTTGACTATAGAGAGGTGCTGATATATATATGTGTGTCAGGATGAATACAAGAGCTGTATCCCTGAAAAAAGGTATCTTGCAAGCAAGCACCCACAGGTGATGACTTTCTTCATAGCACTGACCATCAGAGGTTGGCCAGAGCATCAAAGCAAAGCAGGAAGGAAGGAAGAACATTTGTATTTACTAATGATGTACTGTGTGCTAGGTGCTGTGGTAAGTGTTCTTAGGTAACTTTTACCAAACTTACTTCACAAAGCAATCAACACAAGTTAATGGTATTGGATTGAACTAATGCCAGATAGATACAATGATCTTGATTTTATATTTTATACATGGAAAATCAGGCTCACAAAGTTAAGTATTTGGTTCCAGGTGGTTTTGCTACTAAGTGGTAGAATTTTATATATATATATTTATATTTATATATCTATATGACTACTTGACCTCAGAGTTCTGACTTTTTATCCTTGAATAGTTGCTTTGTGAGATAAACTACTGAAATAGTAAGAAGGAAGATTAGGAATTCGGTGCACATCTACATAGATGATAACAAATATGGGAAGCACACAAGAATCAGTTAAACAGACAATATGGAAAACAGACTCAAACCAATCTAGTGCCTAAGCATATAATTGTATGACTAGAATACAGAGTGAACATTTGGTTCTCTGGCAGGGCTCCTATATGGTATGACATAGAGCAGCTGTCCCCAGAAAAAGTTCCTTTCTTTCTAGACCGCTACTACAGAAGCAGCATTTGAGCAATTCAGAATTTCTTTCTGCTTTCACTATAAATAGAGCTCATGGAATTCTGTATGTCGAAGTTAATGCAATGAAAAGGAGCCACAGAGTATGGAAATAAACCTTAACTCATTCTATCAACTAGAAATATGTTTTGGCATCGCGACGCTGTAAAAAACGCTGTCATTCCTTGGATAGATTCTGAGGTCTTATTTAGCATATGAAATTGCAGAGTAGATCCTATTATGTAAGGAGACAGGAGGACAGCATAAAATGGTTACAAAATGAAGATCTTTGTGCCCTTCAGGGAAGAGTTAACAAGGCAGATAGGCAGAGAGAGAGAGAGAGAGAGAGAGAGAGAGAGAGAGAGAGAGAGAGAGATGGGATAAAAATGTGGCCCATGAATGAATGGGTGCCATGTATATGTGTCTATTGCTGAAGCCAGGTTGCTAGATAATCCTCAGATGTCAGATTTCTGTGAGGCCAACATGTGACTCCAAGCTTGCCACTCAAAGAGAATACTGGGCTGTGCTGGTATTAAGAGGCTGGCTGAAAGCTAGGCTCCCACTGTGCGTTAGCCTAACTCCCTGTCGCTCTCTGCGTGTGGGTGGTGTGCGTGTGAGGGTATACATTTTGTGCAGTGGGTGTTTAAAGAGCTAAGCACTGAGACTGGATTTCCACAAACGATCATCACGAGCACTCCAGACACACCAAACTTCCTCTCTTGGTATTTTTTTTCCTTCTCATTTTTTTTCTCCTTCTTCTTCTTCTTCTTTTTTTTCCTTGCAAACCCCACGGAGGATTGCCTCCCAGCACCCAGCCTACAGGATTGGGATTACTTCTTTCTTTTACCTGTCCATGTGGGTGCCCTCTCAAGGTTAGAAGTGAAGCTATGTGGGGTCGGCATATTCTCCAGCACCAGACGAGAGGAGCTGCCTGAAAGAAGAGTATTGTGGCCACCAGAGGAAGAGCGACTCTGCCCTGTTAAAATGAACAACAGCTTGCAGGTTAACCTGCCCCAAAGCTGGGCTGCATCGAGTGGCTCACTCCAGGAGAAGTCTGAGCATTCTTTTTTTCTTTTTTATTACTATAGGATGGAGGATGAAGCTGTCCTGGACAGAGGGGCTTCCTTCCTTAAGCATGTGTGTGATGAAGAAGAAGTAGAAGGTGAGCTGGCTGGGGTTTGGGGATGGGGTGACATCGTGTATATATGCCTCTGTGGGTATATATAGCGTTTGCCCATTTCAGAGATCACATTTCTAAAGTTAAAAACCAAACCTTGTCTGTGGAGTTTCTTTATTCTCTACATTTTTGCTTCAACACAGAAAGTAATTTCAAAAAACTTTATTGGACCCTCAGAACTAAGGACAGCCTGATCTCAACCTGGTTTTTCTAAACTGGGTTATTTTTTTTAAAGGAGATGCTTATGTTAACTCTGCCTGTCCACCAGTAACTAATAGTTTACTAGATCAGATTTATCACGTTCCAATGACTAATTCCAGAAAGCTGCTAGATTTACATAAATATATTGGCAGCACCCTCTAATATTCTGTTTTCTGTAGTTGGCACAGGAGAGAAACATGCTGCAGAAGGAGAATGACACCATTGTAGAGAAAATGGGTATAAGCTATGATTGTGAAGCGTAGTAACGTGGAGAGGTCTTAGCTAGGAAATGAGAGACAAGCAGGCTTAACTAAGAAATCCCCAGGACCCCTGTCACTAATGTTCCCCAGAGAACACTGAAGTCAGAGAAGAGTTCTGTCTTGCCTGGTGGTGTGGATGCTCTCAGTATGGACCTCATGGTCTTCTCGCTTGACTCATCAGTAATGTGGGAACAGTGTTACTGATTTGATAGTAAGATGGCAGGGCATCACAGATACAATATATTGCTATTGACAGTGAGATTTTCTAAAATAATCAGGGTTCTAGGTAGTACTCAAATAAAACTTGCAGGTGGACCATGCGATCACTTCCATTAAAACCACCTGAGAGACATTGTGTAGGTGTTTTGGAGATAGAAGTCTGACTAGTTTCATTTTGATAAGCATTTCCTGTCTCCCCAAGTATTGGAGGTGAGAGCTGGGAAAGAGAGGTGGGTCTTATGTGTTTTGGAGTCCTTCTTCAAGCAGATAGAACCTCAGGTCCAGGACAAGTGATGTTCCAGTTCTACCTAGAACAGCCTCAGCACTGTGGGTGGTCATGCTGTTTCTCATGTTTCTTTTAGTGAGTTTCTTCTGCCTGTGTTCTGTGGAGAATTGCAGCCCTCCCCTCATTTCTGCATTTCTGCTCTTGAGACTGAATAATAAGAATGTGATGCCCAAGTTTCTTAGAAAAATGGAAACTGCAGTATTTTCTTTCATATTGTTTGATGGGTTCCTTGCATTTTTACAGCATGACTGTGGGGAAGCTGGAGAAGGAAAAATAGTGAAACTTTTTTTTTCTCATGAGTTTTGTAATCTGTGATGGTAAATCTTCATTGTAGTAATGCTGTTAGTGTCCTTTACTGCCAAATCATTAAAGTGATAACATTTGGATATAAGAAGTAATGTCCCTTTGGGTGCATACCCCTAGTTGTAGGATAATTAAGGTGGGAAAAATACACTTGTGTGTTTTTTCCCTTGAGAACAAGGTCCTAGCTGAGTTCACAGGAGATGTAAATCTCAAGCTTGTAAGGTCTATAGGATTGACAGTACACTACTACAGTAGAATAGTATCCATTTCTTAAAGCTTTTGAGTAGGAATTGTGCTTCCTGAATTATTTCCCTTGATTTTCAAGCACAAAATGAGGCTTATCAATTGCAATGTAAATCACAATATAAATGAATATTGCACATAAGTCTGTAGATAGGGAGAGAAACAAAAAGATGACCAAAATTAGTAGAAATGCCTATAAATTTAAGGAATGTGTTGTGTAAATTTGGTGCATAGGTTTTTGTTCAATTCCCCATTCTTATATGACTCCTGTGGAAGTGGAAGTCTTGAAACTAAGTTAGGAACTGTTTGTATCTGGATAAGTATCCCCCACTTCACCTCCCCTTTACACTCCTATGCTCTTCCGATAGGGGTTGGAGGACTGAAATTTTAGCATAAACTGCAGTATAAAGAAGTTGAAATGGATACAAATTTGATGGCACATCCATTGTTCCAGTTATGGAGAGGAAAGGAAGAGATGATTCGGTTTTCAAAGTGTTTATTAAAGATGGACATTGCAAGTGGAAATATTTTTCTCAACCATATGAGTCCATCTCAGGCTTTTCCACTCACATGGTAGCCATACCTCCAGTCCTTAGGTTTTTAATCCCATAGAATGGTGTAAATGAAGGAAAGCAAAATGTTATTGCTGTTCTGAAGAGCTGAATTTCTAGTACATTTATGGGAGAAATAAATGGTGTCCTTGAAGGATTAGGAGCTCAGAGGCCAAGGAGCTGGAATGCCTTATGATATAATAGCAGTTATGCTTCCTTTTATCCAAGAAGCTATTTCTCTTGCTTTGAGGATGAACATGATTAAAGTATATTGCAGCACACTGGGCGAAAGTATACTTAAAAACTTCGATTTTTTTTCAAAGAGTAATTTTCAGAAGTAATATAAGGAGTGGTCATTAGGGTGACTGAGGTCCAGTAGCTCTGGCCACTTGGCTCATTCCCATGGCCAGAAGAATCAGAGGCCTTCTCTTCGTTCTTCCAATCCTGTGTAGTTCTGAAGCAAGGAGAGAAGACTTCAAACATGCTCTCAGTTCACCTTGTTCAACTTTCCTCTCAGTGGGTGGCATGACACTTAATCCACCTCCTAGAAACTCAATAGAAAACCATCAGCTGTGAAACTCACTAAGAATAGAGTGAGTCAGAAGAGGAGTCATCTTTTGTTTGAATAATGAATTTATCTCAGTTGTATATATTTAAAGATCTAAACCTTGTTTTCACATAGTTTTCCTTCAGGTACTAATGGCTTAGCGATACACTCTCAGAAAAAGGAAACCAAGTGCCAGGTTTTACTCTTTAAAATAAATCAAAGCTTTTTGTTCTGGTCTTGGATTGGTTATCTTATGCTACTGTAAGATATTTGCAAGGTTAGCATTTTGTGCCAGGAGTGGTTACTGGATACCAGCTGACTGAAAACTGTTCGTGTTTCAGATAGTAATATTCATTTCTGTATCAAAAGGCTTTTGCTACCAGAGTTAGTCTGTAGACACCAAACTGATGTTGCCAGAATGACCCAGAAATGTTGACCATGAAGAGCAGCTGCTCATGTTTTATTTCCTATATAGAGGAGGTTGTCAAATTGTGTAGGGTGAGCCCAGACCCACATAGGAAGCAAGAGTCTCAGGTAGCTTTTTCCTGGAGGAAATGCTACGAATGTTTCATTCTTTAAGAAAAAAAAAAACCTGCTATGATCTTGGATCTGTATGATATAAACAGATTACTTAATAGTCTCCTATTTCGCAATAGGGGAAAAGGCAAACTCCACCTTATCCTTTGAGATAAGGCCTTGGCTCTGCTAGCATAGGTAACTCCCCAGCAGCTGGGGCAACTCTTAAATTCACGAGGAGGGGGCCTCTTCTTAGCACCAGGTCCAGCCTGCACCTCAGCAAACAGCCTACAGCGAGATGATGTGGGTTGCGTCCTTTCTCTATGCCCAAAACCTCTTGGTCATTTTAAAGCTGTTTTGACACTTGGCAGTGGTTTCCATCTTCCTTCAGAGTTGAGGCTGGTAGTCTTACTTGTCAAATGGAAGAATATTTACTGTTGGTCATTAAGAGAGTATTGTTGCAAACTTTTACTGGTGTGTGTGTGTGTGTGTGTGTGTGTGTGTGTGTGTGTGTGTGTGTGTGTGTGTGTGTGTGTGTGTGTGTGTGTGTGTGTTGGTCCTGGGTCTAGTGTGTGTGTGTGTGTGTGTGTGTGTGTTGGTCCTGGGGCTTGAACTCAAGGTCTAGGTGCTTTCCCTGAACTTCTTTTTCTCAAGGCTAGTATTTTATCACTTGAGCCACAGTTTGACTCTCTCTCTCTCTCTCTCTCTCTCTCAGCAGTTTTTGGAGATATAAGTCTCATGGACTTTCCTGCCAGGGCTAGCTAGCTTACAACTGTGATCCTCAATTCTCAGCCTCTTGGATAGCTAGGATTATAGTCATAAGCACTGATGTCTGAGAAGACTTTTTAAGGCAATCAAAATAGAAAAGTAGAACAGAGTTTGGAACAGAATAGATACTAAGTAATTGTTAAAAAGAAAGCATAAATATGTATTATAAACTAAATAAAGCATAAGATTACTTCTGTAATCCTCTGTATCTGTTAAATTTTTAATTTAACATTTGATTTTCTTGCTACTCTTAGTCAAATGAGGTATAATCTCTAATTCATCCTTGGTATTACTTCCTTTTTGATTTTACAAAGATCAGTTTATGCTTTGGGGGGGGGGAGGCTGGGAAGGGATGGGAAGGGGAAACAAAGGAGGAGGCTACAATGCTTGATAAGAAATGTACTCATTATCTTGCCCACGTAATTGTAACCCATTTGTACAGTATTTTCACAATAAAAAATAAATAAAAATTAAAAAAAAGAAAAAGAGGCCCCTTTGAAGACAGAGGCTAAAATGATGAAATGACAGCTTTTGTCTTTCGGAGGACCTCAACATTTTACAGACCTGATATCTTAGTGGTTTTAATCTATTTTTTTCTGCTAGAGACTATTATGATCATCTACTCATGTGAACGGGAGGAGGCAGTATTCTAAGAAAAAGTGGGACTTAGTAGATATATGTTAATAAGTACAGTGATCAAAAAATGCACTTTTACCAGGCCCTGATGGCTCACAATTATAATCCTAGCTACCCAGAAGGCTGAGATCTGAGGATCAGGATTCAAAACCAGCCCAGGAAGGATAGTTCGTGAGAGTCTTATTTCCAAATAACTACCAAAAGCCAGAAGTGGAGCTGTGTCTTAAGTGGTAGAACACAGAAGGCACTGATTTCAAGTCCCAGGACCTGCACATCTAAGAAAAATGTGCGTTGCCAAGAAGGAGTGAATGAAAACCTAGTAGAAGGGCAGGGAGGAGCCGAGTTAGGGCTGGGCTGTTGTGGGCAGTGATAAGTGTAGGATTGCAGTTGGGTTTTGTTGACCTCTTCTCTCTGTTCATTCTGATTGCTCAGAAACAGAGTGTAGGGAGGAAACC